ATTTTTGCAACTTCTTTAAGGAATGAACAGAGATTATGCACATCATTAATTTTTAAAGGGAATTCATGGTTACTAATTTTTGTTAATGGAATATCTCTAAAATATGCTTCCACTTGCAGATCATCATGAATAACGACTGATGCAGAAATAAAAGGAGCAAATTCCGTGCTTATCTGGAGAAAAAATATACTATTTTCTTTAATCACAGCTGTTAAATCATAAGGTATCTTAACATTTTTTAGACATGATGAAAGCTCACTCAGATTACTATAATTACCTAATTACTAATTTTAAAGTAATAAAAGTAGGATTTCTAGTAATGCAATTTATATTTTAACAAAAGGTAATAGCAAGCATATGTGTGTTTGTCTCCCACTCGGGAGGGGGGGGGGAAGAAAAGGATTCTTAGTGACAGAGGTTTTAATAATATTTGAATTTTCATGAACTAGGAATTTAAATTATTTCTTGTTTTACGCAAAACTGTGCACTTTATATTACAATTAAAAAAAAACATAATCATATTTATTGCCTTCACAGTTTCTTTAGAAAAACTTAACCTAAATTAATTTTAATATTAACCTAAATAATTTAATTTGCTGCCATATACGTAAAGTTAAAAGTTTTAAGTTATAAAATTAATCAAAAAGTAAAAAATTGGACATTTTAAAAAGTAAGTGAATATTTAGCATACAATTCGATACATAATTATTAACCCTACAATTCGATACATAATTATTAACCGTACAATTCGATACATAATTATTAACCATACAATTCGATACATAATTATGCTAATCGATACGTAATTACACAATATTATACACAATGTATTCTATAAAAATGAAATTCCTTAATATTAACGTATCCATTCTTTTAAATGTAGAAGCAAATACCTTAATAAATTTAAATTTCAAGTTAGGCTTAACTTACCCGAGAATACTACGAAATGGTAAAATTTTCTCGCGGTACCGGCCCAACGTGCAGACCGCCACACCACGAAGGCGGGAGAAATACCTTATAAACTTAACAAAAATGTTTTATACTAAACCTTCATTATTCTGTTGAATATTCAATTTTTCAATTCAATCATACGTTCTTTCTAATAGGTTACACATCCTATCTCATTGTACATACTAGTTTCAAATATAAAAAGACATGTTTACTGTTATTATTGGAATGTTCCTAATCCTCTTTCAAATTTACTATTTTCTTTTTTGTAATGTTATCAAATATTTTAGCAAATTTAAGATTAAATTAAAAATTAATAATTATTTATTTTAAAAAAAAGAAAGTTGCTTTCTAGAAGTTCCCTTAAAAACGTTGCTCTGTGTGAAAGAGTAGTAGAAACTCATAATTTTAATAAACATACATAACTGTGAAAAACATGTTCAAATATATTTTCACATCTCAACGAAAATTATTTCCCAGCTCAATCTATGTTTAGCACGCGGTAATGGTGCGGGCACTCTTATGCAAAGTTCTCGTTTTTCATAAAGGTGCAGAAGATTTATCTTATCCTCTGCTTAATTTATTAATCACTAACTGTAACGAAAATTCGACCTGCATAAGAGTGCACACACCTTTATGAAAAAAGGGTGCCGACAGTCACTTTCAAGCGAGAAACTGATCTTCAGTTTGTGCATTCTTCTCATATATCCATTTGGTGAACATATCGTTATGAAGATTTTTTTCTTTTTGAACAGCGGTCGATTTGCGTAAGGGGTGCAGCACCATCATGAAGCTGCCCCTTTCACCGGAGAGACAAATAAATAAATTTATATAGTAAACAGATATGCCGTGTAAAATTTTGGACTGTAAAAAATGGGACTGTGTAATGATAAAATTTTCTTATTCCTGTCTTCCGCCGTTATTTCTTGGAAAATTTTTGAAGTCAGGGAAACAGATTTTGCTCACCCTCTATATTGTTTAATCTTTAAAAAAATTCGAACAAGTGTTATAAGGTATTTCTCCCGTCTTCTTAGCATGTCTTCGGGGTGTAATAGCCAGCACACTCTGCTCGCATTCGAGAGGTCAAAGGTTCGAGTCCCGGTGATGGCAGTGTTCGTTTTTTAAGTCTTTCAGCATCAAAAATCTTAAGCCTGTACAATGACGCTTGAACTAAAAAAGATGGTGTGGTGGATGATGATTCTACACCACCAGAATTTGGTGATTGGGACCCAGTCACCCTTTAAAAGGGTGTGTATATAAGGTATTTCTTCCTCCTATTTAGCATGTCTTCGTGGTGTAATGGCCAGCGCACTCGGCGCGTATTCAAGAGGTCCACGGTTCGAGTCACGGAGAGAGCATTTTTAATTTTTCAGCATAAAAATCCCTAATGTCTCTACAGTGTGTTCAACACTGAAGAAACAAATTCGTTTAACACATAATTTTTATGAAAATAGATATTTGTTCTTTTCGCCTATTCTTTTAATTTTGCTCGATCTCTACTTACGTTCTGTCTATCTTCTTTAATTCTTTTTTTGTGATTATGGTACCTAACTGTTCTCCATAGCATGAAAGAAAGGTATTTTCCTTTTCCGCCATTTCAATTTCATAATTAAGCTGGCCTCTTTATACAAATGGGAGGCCATTTATTAAGACAATGATCTTCACCTGGGTGCCCAGGCATCTTTATATAGGTTACATTCTTCATTCTTGTTGAAATGTGATAAATTGATTTTCATGAGAGTGCTGTACTTTGTGTCTTCCTGTCTTTGTGCCTTTATGCAGCGGCCCTCTTGTGACTTGGTGAACGACAAAATGTTTATAAAAATAGTCCTGGTACCTTTATGCTAGTTGACCACGCCGGGTAGACCGGCCCATCCTCTCAAAGTTCCGCTCTTGTAACCAAGTGCAAAAGGTGCCATCACCTTTATGCCAGCTGACGATTTTTTGCTAAGATCTTCACAAGGCGTATTGATATCAAGAAGAAGATAGCCTTCTTCGGGTTGTAAACTGAATTTCATAAGAGTGGCTGTCAGGCCAGCTCCTCCGGTTCCTGGTCCCAGACATCCAAATTTTTTTCAGTCGCGGTTAGCTTCAGTGAAGATTAGTGAAAAGCATAAGTGAAATTTAACGTAGAGCAGATCATTAGTATGCATTTCTAATTCAATTCATTAATTTACAGACCCTTAATGGCATATCAACCAGTGGCAGAGTAAATAAAGTTGCTGAAATCTTCTGGTTGCATCTTACCTTCGATTCCTGAGAAAAGAAGAATTTAACTACACAGATGTTTGTTCTTCTTAAATGTAGCACAAATCGAAGCAATTTTTAAAAAAATGTTGTCCGCGTAATTTTCTTGTGGAAGCTGTTATTCTTGAAAATATACCTATATTCGATTCACTAGATAAAATTTCATCACAAGATTTGGAAGACGAAAAAATTTATTTAAATTTGTTTACTCTATAATAAAGTGTGTTCTGTAAACGTCTGTGTAGGCTTTTTTCTTTCATTAAGCTATTTGCATAAAATTCTAATGTTTCTAAAAAATGATAATTTTACAAATCAATTTTGTAGGATAGGTGGGAGGATTGTGTAAGTAATGAAATATGACGTTTTATATGACCCCCGTCAAGCAAAAATTCTAATTAGTGACATATTCATATACTATTTGCAACTAAATAAATAAAAAATTCCCTTATTACCCTTATGTACCGAATACTCTTTTAAGTAAATGACTGAAGTGATGTACGAAGGCATTTCGAAAAGTAAAGATACAATGGCTCGCATTCCTTAAAAAAAAAAAAAAAAAAAAAAAAAAAAAAAAAAAAAACATTTATTTAGAAAACGTCAGTTAAATCTTATTAACTGGATTATTTATTATTGTTCGACATAATCACCCCCGTTATCCAAACATTTGTTAAGTCGGTGAACAAGCTTTTGTATCACAGTCATAGAAGATTGCCGCCTGTTGGAACCCAGCGCGCACACAATTTCCTGTACCCTAACTTGACAGTCACAACTTCATAAAGAGTTGTCATTGACACTTCCGGTATGATCTGATGCAGTTCTTTCAATTTGAGACTTCTATTCGCACGAATTGCTTCCTCTGTTCTCTGAAGAAGTGCATCAGAGATCACAGATGGCCGACTTGTCCTTTGTTCATCATGAACATCGGTCCTACCTTCAGAGAAATTACAACACCATTTCGTTACATTTTGTCGATTCATAATGTTTCCATAAATAGAAACAATTTCTTTGTGAATATCCGCTGGTCGCTGACCTGAAAACGTATGACGGAGCGCACTTCGCATTTGGCGGGATTCTGAATCGGCGCAACCATTTTAAACAAGACCTACACCAACCAGAATCAACGTTGAAATGCCGAACGACCGTGAAGAGAAAGCTAACGGTTCAAGGTTAACACCTGTGTTGCCAACTTGCTCACCAAAACTTTTCTTTTCCTCTGGCGTAGTGTATCTTTACTTTTCGAAATGCCCTCGTAAAAACATTTGTGCCCAAAATGATTTTTACTTCAAATTTTTTTGTTTTGAAAAAATATCTTCATTTTTTTAACCATTACTGGTAAATTAAAACAGTGAAATAAGTTGTACTGCAAGCTTGGAGCAGATGTTGATAACATGTTTTTCTCCACAATAGCAGCTAATAAATTATGGATAAAGTTCGGTTTACATGTATAGATTTAAGATGCTTTAAAGTTTGTAGTAGCTCTTTGATGTTCCTGTTTCCAGAAAAAAAGGGGCGGGAGTGACAGCTAAGGCTTTAATTACTTTCATTTTGCTGTATTTAGTGGGTTTTTTTTTTTTTTTTTCCACCATTTTATCTTACGAAATTCAAGAGAAGACAATTATGCGGGTAATTAAGTACGCGGTTATAGTACGAAAATAGCAAATTAAAAGTACTCATGGATCTTAACCATTCTTCTGCTTGAGCATTTCCAATATCCAGTTTTTTTATGCGGTAATAAGTTCAGCTTATTTACACAGCCTCAATTATAAACTATAATTTGAAATTCGGTGTTGGCAACATACTATTCGCCGTGTATTTTATGTTGTGTTTTGGAATTCTGATTATTTTTGAATAGTAGTTTTTAAGCTAAACTTTGAATAGTGATTAAAAGTAAAGAAGATTAGCCAAAAAATTGATCTTGACTTACTCCTTGTTAAAATGTGAGTTATCGTAACTGATGAAATTTCTGAATGCTTGAAAATTTCGAGCATTTTATTTAAAATTTAAATGAACTTTACAGATTGACAGTAAAACCGAATGAATTTACTTTTTCCGTTTTCATACTCTTACCGTCAGTATTTAACGGAAACTGAATATTTATATTTTTGAAGGATTTAGCTATAATTTTTGTGTCTTTATAGACACCACAGGTAAGATGTCATCGAGTGTTACACTTTTTATCGTATCCTGTGTTGCTTTGAATATGTTATATAAGGAAGGTGCAAATAGTGACATTGAGGCCATTTAAAGAAACGAAAACACTTTTAGGTTAATGATTTTAGATGAAATGTTAAGCAGTTTGTGGAAAATAAGCAGTAAAAATTTAAAAAAATACTGATTTTTTTTTTAAATGATAGAAATTATAGAATTTAAGAATACTAGAAACTTATACGAATTATTTTGTATATGACAGTGTTACAAACTGCATCCAGGGTTTATGTATTTCAAATTTTTAACACCACCTTGCGTCGTTTTTAGAGAGTTTAATTCATAATTTTAATCATAAATGCAGAGAAATTGGTTTTCAAAGTTTTCAGTTTTATTACAAAATTATTGTGAGAATTTAAACAAGAATTTGTATACAGGCGCAATACATTCCTTATGAGTACGATTCTGTATGGAAACAATTTCACAGTATTCTGTTTGGAAACATTCACTTAGTTACCTGAATTAAGGATTAAATATTGTTTATTAATAAAAATTTTAGAAACATGCTTTCCCATCTATCTCTTTTATGTATTTTGGGTAAAAATAATATTTTTGAATTTTAAGTATGGTTTTGAGACATATAAATTTTCTGAAAAATTACGTCAATAATAAAAATTAATAATTAGTTGCAAGTATATGTTTTTATTCCTACTGAATGAGATTGATCAGCAGCACTGAAAATATTTAATTTAACAATCAGGAACAATAAACATATGAAAAGAAAATGTTTGTAATATATGAATTATTTTATGTGCATTTAGTTTGGACTTTAATATTATCTCCAAATTATTTTAAAATTTCATATATTAAAAGATTGAGTGTTTTAATATATACACATGTAGAAAATTTTTTTCATCCTTTCCTAAATGGTATTTTGAATCTAGTGTAATAAATGTTAAAAATAATTTATGAAATCTTTGCAAATAGGTCACATCCTGAAATTCAATAATCTTGAAATGCTGATTTTTTTGCTAGCTCTTCTGGACTTTTCTGAATTTCTGATACAGTTGTATTTCCTTGATGCTTTATATTTCAGACCTTTGAATATCATACTTAGATTTATTTCCTCCAAAAAGCATGTTGAAATTGGTCATTGTATCTTGTTCTTGCCCCCCCTCTCTCTCTTTTTTTTTTTGATAGCTTGTCATAAATTCTAAAATGAAAATTATTAAGAAATGGTGCTTTCAATCAGTTTTCTTCATTTTTAGGAATAAATTTATTCTATTTAATATTTAAGCAAATGTTTGATTTAGTTGGTTCTAGTAAAATTTTGAGTTTATATTTTGTTCTTATTATTGTATATTTGTTCATTCAAAAATGTAGTTTTTCAGATTCTATGCATCTAGTTGTATCACAAAGTACATCAAACATCAAGATTAAGAAGTTTTGCAATAGGCAAAATGTTTGAAACATATTAAGCAACATTTTCAAATACATGATTTTTCTTTGCTTTTTAAAGCAATGCCATTACCAGATTCTCTTATAGCATGCAAAGTATTGTGTTGTTTAAGGTACAGAATGAAAGCTGGTGTTAGTCTATATGGTATTCCTTGGATTATCGTCAAGTTGTTGTTTCGTTTATCGCCAAGTTGTTGTTTCGTTTATCGCCAAGTTGTTGTTGTTTCATTATGGTAACCTGAATAGTTGAATATTATGGAAACCCTGTTATGACATGATTGGTTGTAATGCATGATTGCAGTGATTTTGACTGATGGGAAAATATTTGTAATGACAGTGTGTAATAAAAAGGGATTTTCAAAAGAAATGATACCGACAGTGCAGAAGATATTTTTCATTTTTACTTTTGTGAATTAATGTGGCGATGGCAGTATACAGATTCTAGTTTTAGATAATTTTAAATAATTTGGGATGCTGTTAAGGAATTCTATGTGTCACACATTTCGAAGAAACAGGAATTTTTAAATAAGGTAGTTGATATTTCCTTTTTGTACTGCGTAGATTAGATAACGTGTATTTCCATTCTTATGTTATTTCATTGTTTGATTTAATAAAATGCAGTTTATTGAGATTATATGTTTTTTATATTACTTATGTTTTGGACACCATTTTACTAGGAAGGGCATTGGGCGTAAACAAGAATGGCACCAAAAAATCGCCAATTTTCGCCAAGAGGTACTCTAAAATATATTTTCATCAAAACTGGCAAGTTAGTAGATCATGCTTTGCTCTGATATCTCAGTTCACACAATTTATGAATATTCGGGCAAACATGGCTCTTACCTCACTGTTTTTTCTGGTTACATTCTTAAAAATATGCTATATGTTTTAAAAGCTATTTACGTTTATAAAAACATGCTATTTATTTCAAACATGCACTCAAACTCTTGAACTAATCCTAGTATAGCAAAGAATTACTTCAAAAGCAAAATTTGTATTATAATTATCATTTTATGAGAGCAAAGGCAGATAATAGATTTGGACTAATTACAGTCACAAAGGGTCTCATGTTCCAAGGGACCCTCAATTATGCGCCAATAAAATTAAAGAAATAGTAAATATGTTCTGTGTTGTAACACATCCAGCATTATATTAATATAATATTTCTTGAATATTACTAAATGTTTAGCATTGTAGTTTTGCAGTCTACATTATGATACTTTTACTAAATCTGTATCCTTATCAAACAAATATGTTAAAAATAAATATAGAGTTATTAGTTCCTGTTGTGTGAGGTTGCTCAGACCTGGATTAGTAATGAAATGCCAAATGAGCATGAAGAAAGCACACATCAAAAAGCTGGACTATTAACTAGATATCACTCTAAAAGTTGCATCATACGTTTTCAAAGTATTTCAGAAAAATAATTCTTTAGAACAGTTTTTTGCTTTGTTACATAACATAAAACAGTCAATCATCACGAATCTCTTTTGAGGTTACCACATGAAGGGGAAACTAGTTCTCTTTTACAAATGAGGATTAATGTGTGGAATTTGATGCTGGAAGCTGATTGGTTGTTGAAAAGGAACTTACAATTTTTGCGAAAAGAAGGGATAAATCCTGCATCTTTCTTTCAGTGATAAAGCAAGTAGAAAACAATTGTTCATCTGAAGCAAATGAATGTGTGATAGGAGCTTTAATGACTACTCAGTGAAGTTGTCTTCGGATATGTAAAGCATGGAATAAACAGAATTAGTGGATCAGAAAATAAGTAGTCTCACAGGCAGTATTGTGCATACATAAATCATTAAAAAAACTGTTTTTACATTTATATGTAATTATGCTACTGCATTGTATAAGGTAACTTGCATTACGTGCTGCAAAAATACCTGGGCTTAAAGCAGCTATGCTAGCTATCAGGATTTAGAACTTGCCATATTCGCGTGTTTGGAATGTTGGCTTGCTCGTGTGGCTTCTGGATGGTATTAAAGTCTTAAGAAATGATAAGCCATAATGAAAATAAAGCTTTGTTATAGATTTGCATTATTAAAATTAATTTTCAGCATCATGATTTTTATGGTCTCATGATTTATGATTTCATGATTTTCATCATCATGATTTTATGGGTTATGCATGAACTTATAAATGTATACATAGTGTTTAAATGTGAAACAATGTATTCATATTAATATGCTTATTTGTATGTTGTCAGAATATTTATTTGCAATTGTCAGGATATAGTTATTTGTATGTTTTATTGTTATCAGAATGTTGTGATTTAATTAGAACTAACTAGCTGTTACTTGTAATATGCCACAGTCATTTTGACTAAAAATGTTTAGTTGCTTTATGAATATCAGAGTTAAAATCAGTGACCTAATAAGAACTCTTGGGCCTATATTCAAACTTTTTTTTCAGTTCTTGATTTAAAATGTTTTAAGAAAAATAATTTAGCAATCCCTAGAGACAATATTTTGAATAGTGATAGCTTTTAGTACAGTTGGGTTAACTGCTAAGCAATATCTATGAGGGTTTAAGGCAGTGATGGTGAATCTGTGGCACTCTTGCCACAGCTTGATAACAAATGCTGAATCGGACTGCTGCCCTGGCTGCCTCCATATGTGTGTGCGTTTATCAGCACTGAGACTGAATCAGGATTCCTCGCTGAAGATCACACGCCTCCAGTTCTCCAGTTGGTCATGCCCAGCTTGCCTGAGTCCAGCAAAAATCCAATCGATGCAGCCTGTGATGTGGGATCAGTATTAAGTGTTTTAATGGACGTCAGCAGCATATACCAGCATCGGCCAATGTTACATATATACCAGCAGCATATACCATGTCTCTGAATGGTTTTCCTTTATACCATCGGATGCCTGGAAGGTGGTAAATGGTGTCGATTTGATTCTAGCAATGTTGTTGGTGTGGAAGTTGCTGCTCTTATGATTGCACAATCCTCGCTGTCATTTATGTTTCTGTGATGCCCTTACCCTCCGTGAGAGTACACTATTCCTACTGTGATCCATTGTCGGCAACGTCAAGCACCTACCATATCACTTCGGCCGAAGTGGCAGTCGATACATCTGTTCGCCCAAGCTGCTTCTCTGAGGCCCACTATACCTTCTTTTCAAAGGCGGACAACTGTTCATACTGCCACCAGTAACGTCTCAGAGGCATTTCTAGTCACAACACTATCCATCCAAGTTGACAGATTCGTTTCAATAGCCCTACGACATGAGCAATCATGCTTTTAAACTCTCCCAGGGGTACATCTCATATGCGCATAGCAGGCTTACTCTTTGGTGTCGAAATTTAAATCATTTGCATATCTCTTATCAGACTACATTCTTGCTGAGCTCTGTGATTATTGCTCAGTTCCTTCTGGATGCATATATTTTTATGTGACAGAGTGTATTTTGCCGGTGCTAAGCCATTTTCCCATCTCTATGATACGGTATTTCATAAAATTTACTTTCAGTAACTTTTAAGTAATTCAGTAAACTGCCAGTGGATCTGCATAAAATTCACTTTTACCTACATAAAATTCTCTACTTTTGTTACTACATTAATAACATAACCCAGTGTTAAAACTGTTTTCAAAGCACTTTGTTATGAATGAGGCATTGGATAAAACTTATTTTGTATTGTGGCTGCATCTCTATTAGTATATCACTGATTCTTTCTATTAAGCCCACATTTTTTCTTGTTAAGCTTAGGCAGCCATCTGTGATGATACTTATTACTTTGTTCCTAAGTTAATGCATTTTAATTAGACATTTCTTAATAGTCACAGAAAAGTCTTCTTCAGTTATTGTATCTCTCATTGAATGTATGCTAACTAGTTCTTCGCTAATTTCAAATTTCTTGTCTATGCCATGAATAAATATTAATACAGTCAAAAGTTGTTAATTCGGACACCCATAATCCGGAATGATCTATAATCTGGACTTCAAAGCTACAAACTTTCTGCGCATGCGTTGTGTTGACGCAAGACCTTTATGGAATGCATGTGCGCATGCGCATAATACATTTATGTATGCGCATTTAATGTAATTTGTAAAATAGTTTTATCTGCCATACTAACATTTTGAAAGGCTTGCATTTTCAAATATGTATACTGTTTTCAGAGCAACATGTTTGCGAAACTTTTACTAAATATTCCACAGTGTCCACAGAGCCACTCAAGGCTCATAAAATTGAAAGAGTCGGAATTCTCGAATCTAGTGCAGAAGAACTCTTTTGCCCTAGCAGTCAAGGATTCTGTTCCCATATCACTGTCTCAAGTTCTGTCCCTGAAGCCAGTGCTGACTTTTGCACTGCACTTCTAGTTCGACCGATAAACATTGCCATGAGCAAGCCATTGCTATAATGCCAAATGCCCTGAATAGCTGCGAGCCATAAATCACTAATGGCCTCCTGATTGATACAGTAGTGCCATTATTGACATGACAGGAACATGCATTTCCTCCACCCGTTCACCTGAGGAAAAACCGTGAACTATGTCACTCGCACCACCCATGATGCCTCCCTCAAGTGTTCAACAGGCCCAGCTAGCCATGCGAATGAATGCCATGAATGGAGCTGAACAGTAGCCCACCAACACAATGATCAATCTCATCAGTGCAGGACAAGTTGTCCCTCCTCATTAGCATACAAATGCAGGGAGAGAGTGTTACAGTAAGCCGTTCAAAATTTGCTCATTTGAAAGAGTTGAAATTCGTGAATCTAGCGTATGAGAGTTCATTTGCCTTAGCAGTAGAGGATTCTGCTCCCATGTCACAGCCTTAGGTTCTGTCCACACTGCTAATTTGATTCGTAGATGTTGCCACAAACAAGCATCTGCTGTAACACTGAAAGCACTGAAGTGCTTTGAGCCGTAAATCACCAATGGCCTCCTGGTCACCACATTTTCTTGACAAACTCTGTTTCAGCAAATACCTTACACAGTTTTTCAGCATTATGTGTAATGACGTAACTATTTTTTGAGCCTGCTTTATTGATATTTTGTTTCGTTAAGAAGTTTTGTTTCAGTTTTAAAGTTCTCTGCTATGTTTCTCAGTTTCCTTGATGAAACTGATTCATATTTTTAATGTTTTGTTGCAAAAATACTTCTTCAAGTTCCATTCTTTGAAACAGCAGTTATCGCTTGACAATATAAAATTGAGATAAAATAGTTTAGGTTGATATGCTGGAACCATGCTTAATGCTTTCTCAGCTGGAAGTGGAAATTTCTTTTTGGCAAACTAAACAAACTGCTTTATTGTTTAAATTTGCAAATAAATACTTTGCTGTCCATACATTATTAAAATTTTGCATTAAAAATCAATTTTTTTTAGTGCAGACTTATTTTATAACTAAATTCTTAAAACTTATATTGAAAATACTTAATGAAAAAATATTCGATATTTTTAGAATTTGGCACACTCGGGTATAAAACACATACAAAATATGAAGTCCACAGCAAGAAAGCCACACTGTGCACTGACTGAGTTCTACAACTTGCTAACTTGCCATTACTGCTGTCACTACATTCATGTGTATATAGTATAATAGTGTAACAATAGGAGTGCACTCATGTTGCTGATTTCGGTAGTTGCATACAAAATTGAGTAGAAACATAACAAAAATGTCTGATTTCTTTGTTGCTAAACCCTCTGCTTCTAGCATATTGCAATAAGCTATTTAAGTAGAAGTTTAATTCTTATTTTGTCATATAGTATTATAGTGAGTGAGTAATGTATGATTGTATTTCAATTCAGTATTTGGTTGCCTCTATAATCATGGTACTTTTAATTTTTTATGATTGCTATATAGGAGTACGGTCTGGATTATTTGGTTATAGGAAAGCCCAAAAAGACTGTCTGCGAGAAGCAATACCTTCACATACTGTCTAGGGAAAGCCGGCTTATATTTATGTTGCATATGGACAAAATCGTTTAAAGTTCAGTGGAAATGTAAGTCTTGCATTATCTAATCATAATAAGTTTTTGAAAAAAGTATTTTCAGGTATTTTTGCTATGAAATTAAAAAAGAATGCTTGCTGAAATGTTTATTAGATGCTTTCTGAAATATTTATTAGATTTTGAAATGTGTTTATTTCATTAATAGTATAAAAGAATAATGCATATCTTGGTCTTTATTATTTTCTTGCTGTTAATCTCTTTCAGGTTTTTCTGGTCATCTTGACTGTTATTTGCCATTATGTCAGTTTTGCAACTTGTCTTTTTTACTACTTTTGGCAATCATGGGTGAATCCTATGGTTTCTCAATAAATCTCTTTGAAGATTTGTTTCATTTCATTAGCAATCTTTTTTTGGTTGAAACAGAAAAACAGTGGCTTCAATACATTTTCATTTTGTTTTAGGAAGTCTTTCTACAGTTTACGTTATGTTCAATTATTTGCCAACTCTGTTATCTTCGTAAGTATAGAAAATTTGTAAAAATGAAACAGAATCTAAAATCATATGATTAAATTAATAAAATCGGTAATAATTTTTAGATCAAAGGAGGATTAACTTAGAAAGGCTATTAATTTCATTTTGGTATTTTGCATTGGTTCATTATAAAAATCTCAATCACTTTTCAGATTGTTGCCACCAAATATTATCGCCTTGTATTATAGTTAAAGAACTTAAATGATGAAGAATGTGCATGAATGTATGTATGTTTCTCGCACTGTGCAAAAACAACGGTACCTAGAGCTATCAAATTTTGAATAACGTAAGCCTCCACCCGAACATGGGCACCTGGAAGCCAGAATTTGGAGTTCCGAATTTGTTTTATTATCTGTTTAATATTTTGTAAATTTTTAATGAATTAGTGATTAACAAACTGAACAATTTCAAAGCGAGCAATGGCAACACCGTACCCGGGGGGGGGGGTGAATCTCCAGCGTGCGAGACTGTCTATCGGAAATTCTAAAGATATGCTGATTGTAAATATTTTGTGATATAACTGTTGGATTGAATTTTATGTGTTGAAAGTACGAAGAACATGATATTTAATAAATAAAGGTAACACACAAAACTTTAAAATAAAAAAAAAACACCTCTTTGGTCGTAATATACAATCTGAAAGCTTTCAGTTTTTCTTTTTCTTTCTTTTTTTTAATCCAAAGGAGCTTTGTACCTGAAGGACTATTGTTTTCATTTTGCGATTTTGCTTTGGTTCATTGTAAATGTCCGTTTCACTTTTCAAACTGTTGCCGCCGACATAGAGCCATCGAATTTTGAATGACGTAATCCTACTGTGAATACGTGTATGAGGACGCCCGAATTTGAAATTGGGAATTTGTTTTATTATCGATTTAATATTTTGTAAAATTTTAACGAATTTTTGATTAACAAACTCAACGATTTCAAAGCGACTAATGGTAATGTTATACAGAAAAAACATTTTTATTTCTAGCGCATTATACTATTGTATCGGAAATTCTAAAGATATGCTCAATTTAAAACTATTTTGCGATAATGCTTTTGAACTGAATTTTATGGTTTAAGTGCGAAGAACGGGATATTTAATAAATAAAGGTAACAGACAAAATGTTAAAAAAACGCCCCTTTGGACGTAATTTAAAATCTGAAACCTTTCAGATTTGATTTTTTTTTTTTTTTTTTTTTTTAAAGTATTTTGACTTGAAATGTTGTTGACGTACTATTTGCGTCACGCATACTAATTATTTGGTTTGTTAGTCGTAGTCTTACTTCTAAAATACTGACGAAATAAATGACATATTAATAACTTACAAGAAACCAAACAACTTTTGTTAAAATGGGCTTTCTAAAATGTAATTAATAGTGTAATTAATTAAAAACGGTACGTTTTAAAATTTGTTGCAGTTTTCCACACATATATGAAATGTTAAAGCAACAAAAATTTAATATATGTTTTATAACAGCCTTTCCCACAGACTTCTGTTATGTTGTGTTATCACTCCATTGTGCATCGCATTTTTGAATAATTCTAGTAAATATACTCATGTCCATAAATTAAGGATAATTCGGAGTCACGCAGAAATCGAACTCTAAAATAAATATATCACCTGTAAAATCACTATACACATCTTCAAGAATCATATGCAAATTTCAGGAAGTAACCAGATGACACTGATGGTACGTCACAATGACGAGAGTGTAAGAGAGTGATAAGGAATACGGGCAAAGAAGTAAAATTGTTCGCAGACGCCTTATAAGCATTTCAGTGCAATAACCGAATAGGTATGACACAAAGAACGCATTTGGATGATTTTTTACGTGGTAGAATTATCGTCCGTCTGGAATGTGGGCGTATCCAACTGGAAGTATCAGACGAACTTGGAATTACCCAGAGTGTCATCTCCAGGCTTTGGCAACGATTCCAAGATGATGGTAGGTAATGTGAGTAGACGTTACAGCACAGGTCCTCCAGAGTTACAACGCCGAATGAGGACAGGTATTTGGCAGTTACTGCCAAAAGAAACAGGCGGAGCACAGCCTCAGACCTGTCTCGTCAACACTCTTCAGCCACTGGTACGACAATTTCAAGGCAGCACCGTGTACAGACGCTTAGGGCAGATTGGTATATATGTCGTAGACTGTCAGATGTGTTCCACTTACTGCAACTCACTGTCGCATCGCTTAGCCTGGAGTAGAGAGCATGCATTGTGGACACCGCAACAGTGGGCTTGTGTGATGTTTCCGACGAGTCCAGTTTAGCTTGCAGTCTGATTCTCGCCGGACTTTCATATGCAGAGCTCCAGGTACCCGTTACCGCCGAGAAAACATCATTGAACGACACCGTTACGGTGGTGCAGGAGTGCTCGTTTGGGGTGGAATTATTCTGGGTTCCAGAACTGACCTGCATGTTCAAATTGGAACCATGACAAGTCAAATCTATCGGGACGTCATTCTGGAACAACATATACGTTTGTTTCGGGGCGCCATGGGCGCACAATTTGTGTTTATGGATGACAACGCCCGTTCTCACCGTGCAAACATCGTAAGCGAATGCCTTTAATCGGAGGTATCACCCGTATGGACCGGCCAGCATTCTCACCGGACTTGAATCCAATAGAACGTGTGGGACATGCTTGGCCGACGAGTTGCAGCCCGTCAACCTTCTACATGTCTACCGGAACTTCGGAGAGCATTGCTTTTGAGTGGTATAATATCCCCCAAGATCAGATCGATAATTTGATACTCAGCATGCCTAGGCGTTACACGGACTGTATTGCATCGTCTGGGGGACATACAATGTATTACCAATCATACAAACCATGTAATATTGGTTTTTGTGAATAGTTTTTTTTTTTTTTTTTTTTTTTGGGTAATTTGCTCCAGGGAGAAAAAAAAAAATCGCTAATTTTTAATAATATCAAACATATAGCATCTTTTTTGCTCTTACCTTTTGTTTAATAAATAAGCTTTACAAATAAGTCAAATTTGTTTTGCTTCTAACTCTTCCTTTGCCTGATTTTGCATTATCCTTAATTTATGGACATGAGTGTAAATAAATATAGTTATTTGATTATTTTTTTTTCTCTCAAATTTACATGTTATATAAATCACGATCAAACTTTTACTTTTCTTTAGTGTGTTCCTTTTTTATTAATTATCACAAAAGCAAGGGTGTCTGTTTGTAAGAAATTAACCAACGATTTTAATTAATTACACTCAATAAACTCCCTACTCATTCATTACAAAGTCTTTAACAGACTTTAATAATCAGCTGATCAAGTTATAGCCTAAGGTGTAATCAGGAAAGTTTCGTAATGAGACCACAGTTTTTTTTTTTTTTTTTTTTTTCCGCATATGTCTTGAGTATTTATGTCTATTCATTTCAAAATATATGTGTAAACAATTTTTTTTAGAAAGCTTATCCCTGTGGCATTGTTTGTAGTGACGTTTTTAGTTCATATTTTATTGGCTTTAATAACTTTGTTACATAGCTGCTTACTATACCAAAAGGTATCCTATAATTTTATCTTGCTTTAAGTACAATATTAAATGTGGTTACTTTAAGCAGAATCTTCCGTCAGCGTTACACAGCTTATATAATACCGTCTAAGCTTGACTACCTTTATTCCCTCATCAAGAATACATAAAATTTGCTTATATTTTAGAAATTTTCATTAATCTAAAGCTATACGGAAATCTAAAGGTAAAACATATATTTCAATGGTGGTGGTGCGCATACTGGAATGGGCAAAGCGTTTACTGATAATAAACATATATTTGATGTCCATTATGATGTGAAATGCTTGTCTAGTGTGTACGTTTAATGAAATTTTATAACTACCAGCTCATTTGCGTTTATTGCATTTGGTGGGCAGTGTGATAAAGCTTGATTGCTAAGATTCCTTAGTGCAGTATTAATAGAGAATAACACATTATAATTTGGCTATGTTATATTTTAAACGTATTATTTCCGAGTACCCATTTGTATGCTGACTTTGCATGGGTAATTCAAAATTTTTATAGAAATGCACGTTTTGGCGATTCTTCTATCTTTTTGCATACTATTATTTCATCGATTCTAATACTAAGATTTTTCTCCATAAGGGCTATAAAAGTTGTGCATCTTAGAATCGCAGATTTTTTCGTGTTATTAATTATAATTATTTCGAAATAATTAATTTTTCTAAGTTACTAACTTAAACAGATATACAACTATCGTTGATAAATCAGAGTCGATTTCTAAAAATGTATTTTAGCGTTTTATTTTAATTACGTTTTTTTAAAATTAGTACTGAAATTAAGGGGTGTATCTTAAAATCGTAAAAATAAAGTATTTATTTCTATGCTTTTTATTTCCTTTCTGTATATGTCGTAACTCGGGAACATCTAATTAAACCTGTCACGGCAACCACTTTACCGAGACAACCATCTCAGAAAGTGGCCGTTATTTTTGAAAGCATTATTTAATAATTATACTCTCCAAAAGAAAAGGTACGAATATGAAAAGGGGAATTAACACATGATGCAATTTACATATGAGGTTGCGGCGCCGAATGCAAATAAATAGGCAACCAAAATTAGTATAAAACGCAATCCCGCAGTCACAAGACAACGTCTTAAAAACGGGCATGCTGGATCTACGCGTCAGTTCGCAAGCAGCAATAGTTTCGTGTAATCCGAGGTAGCCACAGCGGAAAGCATGAGCCGAAGACACCATTAGCAGATGAAATCCGTTGGAAGGCTGTCGGGATGTTGCAAGCTGGTGCAAGACAATCCGCTATTACGAGAGAGCTGAATGTGCATCGTAATGTCATCATTAGGGCGTGAATCCCCAAAGTATCAAAACCCCTGTAGAAGACGCA